CCTCATTCTATCTGCAGCTAATTTTTTTCGAATTTTTTATATCTTTTTCGTTTTAGCATTTATTACCAAGGCCCTTTGATGTCCTTTCTCGTCTTCGAAATGATCTCTTCTTATGTTGGGGTTGGGTGGCTTCCCTCCTGATCTCTTCTTCATCATACTTGATTTCCTTTTTTGTGATTTTTATGGATTGCAGCCATGAGGTAGAACAGGTTGGGCCCACGATGTCGCCCTCAACAGGAAATCGAGAAAACCTTCAGTGGATCACGTTGCCATCACGTCTGTACCTGGATAAAGAGTAAATAAAAGAAAATCCGTAACGGTTTTTGTGAGAGACAGGATGAGCTCAAACGGGCGTGAATCGCGCTCAAGAAAAGTGGACTATAATGCTACTAATCTCCGGATCAGGGCTGAAACCTCCGTCTCAGGGTCCTACTCCCTTCATCCATCCCTAAAATTGGGGCATTTCATACAATAGAAAGGCAAGAGTAAATTTTCGTGAAGAGCTTCTACAAACACCCATGTAGATTTCTCAAGAACTTCTACACGTTCTTCCAAGGAATTCCTACACCCTCACATAGCTCAGAAGCAAAGTCGAAAGATCGAACTGATATCATTGCGATTGCAAGTGACAATGGATATGTGAAGTGTGGAATGGAAAAACGAGAAGAAACCGTCGACAACGCCGAGCATGAAACATTCGCTTTAGTACCAGCAAAGCGCAATAAAACTGATTTGTGGGCGGGCCCAATACTGCATCTACGGCTGTGGCTGCTCGGCCTTGTCAAATGTTCCCTAAAGTAGTGTGTGCTTTCCGCTTGCGTATGGCTGCTTCTCGAGCAGAAGTTCGATTTCAACTGAGAATTCTGAACCTTCCCTTCAAAACATCCCAACTAGTCCTTTTGGGATTGAAAGGAATTCCCATTTTTATAATAAGTTTATAAGAAATTTGAAAGTTTTCACAGTTCTTGCCCTACACCTCTTTCTCCTTGAAAGGCCCATCAGACAAGATTAGCGAAATTCCTCGGGAAGACGTGACGAGAGGCGGGATGGTAGGAGGCACGAAAGTAGCACATGATGCTAGAAAATTCGCTGGTCAACTTTTCAGATCTTGCTAATCTTTTGTAACTTAACCCTCGTATGAATCAATTTAGGTCTCACGATTACTCGTGGCCACCGAGACCATCACACCACATTCGTACCTCTCAGCTATGGTGATGCAGTGGGGTCAATTCGTAGGTGAGTCAGGCATAGCTAACATATACGGATGGTTTTGCTGGGTCACGGCTCGGTGGTGCTTCACGTGCTGCACGCTGAGAACTTGCGCGGTCATTAGTTCGAACCGCAGGGAATGGGTGCGTAGCGTTTCTCCTCCTGGGGTCAGGTCACCTAAAATTGAGACGCCGTTCATTCGCTCGGAGCAAGCTTAGGACTAAGCCTAGGCCCAATCATAGGCTTAGGCATAAGCCAATGTGTAAGCATAAGCCTTAACCTAAGTCTAAACCCAAACTTAACCTTAAGCTTCAATGATCGCGCAACTGTGGTGACCTGACCCCAGGAGGAGAAACGCACGTCTCCCGGGGGACTGAGTCACGGACGCGACAAAATATGAAATGAGCTAGGCGAGCAGGTGTGAGATCGTAGTTCGGAACTTACCGCTGCATCGGTCACGTCGAGGGACCGACAAGCGTCCAGCAAGTTGTAGCTGCTGCATCCCTTCGATTTCAGATCATGATCTCACTCACACGGCTACGGCTTTGTCCAGACAGAGCTACGCGTCCGGAGCTGTTTGTAATAGAACGTGTGAGAATCTCGATCCTTGCTTCAATATACCGTTGTCTGCAAATGATCCGAAACTGCACACTGGAGTGTGAGTCGTTTCTTAGTCGTAATTTTTGCCTGATAAGTCAAGTTCACTGAGTCTTACCTTGCATAGTTGAAGCCGAGCTTCTCTGTGTGATCAACGAACACTCGCTAGTCAGTGAGAAGTTACTGAAGGGCGAGATGCCATGCGAAAATAGGTATTCGTGCGAATCAGCTCTCTCACCGAACTGTTCCTTCACGAAGCTTCACACTTTGGAGTAAAGGAATAAGAACAGAGCGGGGATTACGAACGCCTTGCGACACAGCGCTGAATATATTAGGTACCGGATATCTTAGTGTCGCTTTTCTGAGTTCAGGAAGTTTTGGGGCCGATTACTATGGAAAATCAATATCCCAGAAGGCAGTTTTTGCTCATTAATATTGCGAAATATGTTGCTTACCGTCTTCTATTGTTGGTTCACAATTTAACTTTCCCCCAATTTTTATACTTTCTTCTGAAAATTCCTGGGTCCAGTGTGCAAATTCGCATGTGTGTACCAAATGCATCAAAATTCTTGCTGAGAGCTGTAACCTCCGCCCACCAAACCAGCATTGCATTTGATGGAGGGAATACTACCATTTAAAATGCTCATCGGTTTTTCACAGTTTTCTTAAAAGACAGTAAAGTCTTTGAAGGGATGCCCGCAACCGTCGCCAAAAAGGTGGTCCTAGCTAAATCAGTCAAAACGGGGCTGCACCAGTCTTGTGCTGGAATGGTAGGACACCCTAGCAGTTACTGATCGATGGTGCACAGACGCTCTAACGAAGTTGATTGACCAAGAAATTCTAATAAATGTGCTCATCTGCTACTCACGTGTGCTCAAAAAGGGTGCGTTTTTGACCCATGTGGGAAAAAAGATTCCGGGAAAAATTGTCCAGTTGAGCTGGTAAGTAATAAATTTTCCACCAAACAGTGCAGACCCTACTCTAACTAAATGTATACATATTTTGTCCAGGCCCAACTGTTTAGCAAGGTAGAGGGATGATTTGTCAGATGATGTCAAATTCGACCTACCTCTCTTTTTCGTCTCAAAAAATTCCTAACTTTAATCGTACGAGGTTTTCACTCATACTGGTAAATGGGAAAGGGCTAATGAGTCATTCGATGGATATGCCGTTTCACTCACTGGATTTTGAATTAAAATATTGGTGGTCCGAAACTCGCGGTGAAAAAACGACACTAAGATATCCGGTACCTAATATTCGTGTCCCTATACTAGTTTGTGTTTTGCCGAGATCAGCGGGAAGTAGGAAGTTAGCACGTATGTTGAGAGATGTGAGGCTCCGTAGTGGGTCTGTCCTCATCCCTTGAGAGTAAGTCGACACTAATGACTAGGTTGAGTGGACACCCAAAATGACTAAAATGAAATTCTTGGTATGAGGATCAAGTTTGCTCATAGTTGCAGTGCGGTAGGCTAGCATGTTGGTTCATCTAAATACTGGCAGAAACAACAGCACCCCGTACCATATATTAATAAAATGTAGTGGCCTTTATAATGCTAAACTTTTCTTTTGGAATGACTAACTGTTTTGTTTTTCGATCTCAATATTTTTATGTGTGTTTTATTCAAAATTATTAAGGGGGTGGGACTCAAAGAGTAGTTTAGTCTCCGTTTCGCACGTGCCCTTAGACGGAGACTAAACGAAAGAGTATCCTCTCCCTGTGCTCATCAGTTCCTCTGGGAAGTGAAAAAATAGTTCAAAATTGGATATGTTCTGTGTACACAATCACAATGTCAGCAACACTTGATAGACTACGATTCTGATAGAAGTAAGGCATGCTGGAATCCAGAAATTGGAATGCCCACCTACTCACTGCACTTTCTGACAAAATTTTATTTTCCATACACTTGGCTATAAAGTCATATGAATGAAGCTGTCGGTATTCAGCATCAAGAAGTATCCGTGCATTGAATTCGAGCGCAGTGGTGCGGTTTGCGGTAGTGGAGAGACGTCGCTAATCTTCCAACGTGTCACATACAGAGACCAAATGAACATTGTGAGTGATCCTTGGTTTTCTGTTGTTCTGGGCATAAATACCTTTCTATGTATCTTAGTAAAGGTGGTCATGGTGCGGGTCATTTGCGGAAAGTTGAACGCGATTCTCTCGCGCGGTAGCTAATTCGAACGACATTCAGCTTCTCTTGGCGCCGCTATACTAGGAGCGCCCTGTCCTCGCAATTTCATCTCTATCTCTAGTCACGGCGCGAATGCTTGAAATGTAGTAAACCACCGCATGAATACTAACTTTTTCCTTTCATTATTATAATTGAAAGAGAGCGTCGTGACTCCTTACTGAGCTTGTTTTTGGAGATCTAAGGTTCAGTGAGTCGCGGCAATGCTCGGCGCAAGACCCGTCCATAGAAACCATGACACCTACTATATCATCCATAAATCCTGATTGTGACTGGGGTAACGCGTCTTCACGATAGCCGAAAAGAATAAAAAGTTGTGTTCGTTTAAGTCGAAAAACGCAGGAGGGACTGCTACACACAAATTGCCCGCTGTAAGTCGTTAAAACTTTAGCGACTTAGGAAACGCTTCCACTTAATACTTGAGACGCAAATGCATGACAAGGGGTGATGTTTGGGGTCACACCACGGAAGAGGCGCTCACCTGCGGCCAAGGTTTCCATATAATCCTTACAGACAAGTGACCGTAGTCTACGACAGTGAAGGAATTTGTTCGCTATCTTCACAGCTTTCTGCAAAACATGTCCTCCGAAAATGGAAAATGTCACATAATAGGCCCACTATGCCTGCTGAGAACTGTTCAATTCAATTGATTATACAAAGGATTGATCAGGGTCAAGCGAGGCGTCGAGGAAAATTCGGAATACGACCCCCCCCCCCCACCCTCTCGCCGAAGGCCGAAGTCCATGAAACAACCCTCTTCAAAAGCCGAACTATGAAAAAGTTGTTTAATTCTCCACCAAAACTGCTCATAAAAAAGCCCTGCTACCCCACCGTCCACAAAAAAATTCGTTTAAGAAGTACAAAGTGAAAAAGTCAAAGAATAATCATTATTGATGAGTCCTACCAAACGAGCAAACGAGAAACAGACCAGAAAACGACAAACTAGCCACTAAAAATGGCATACCATGACAACATCTGTTCTTTATTTATTTCCTCCACAAGACTTACCAAATTCTAGTACTACACAGATTGTGGTTCTCAATTTGCACGTAGCCCTTCAGTTGAAAGAAGCTTTTTGACCGCCTTCGCCAGCTGTGTGTTGACTGGACTTTGGCGTTGACCGTGGAGCAGCTTATTTACTATTGAAATTTGAACAAATATTCAAATGATTATAACTTTCTTCAAATATGACGAATTTTCAATCTGAAAGCAGATTTGGAAGTTTTGTGAAGAGCTTTTTCTAATCAGTATAGAAATTACAAAAAGTTATAAGAAATAACAAATTTAGGCCAATTAACGAGGAAAATTCGAGACGAGCACGAGTTTTTACACTTTCCGGAGCAATAACTTGCTTCATTTCCGTCAAATTCAAAAAGTTGATACGTCATACAAAACTAGAAGATTTTCTCTATCAAACCGTTGCTAAAGCAGCTTCTATACGTCCAGTATTCAAAAAATGGCCACGTTGAGGATTTTCTGCAAAATTAACGAGGAAAATTTGTGATGAGTGCGAGTTTTTTTACTTCCTAAAGCCATAACTCCGTTCAAACTCATCCAATCCGAAAAGTAAATACGCCATCATAAACTAGAAGATTTGCTCTATCAAATGCTTACTAGAACTGCTCCAAACGTCCAGTATTAAAAAAACGGCTACGTTGAGGATTTTCGCACGAGTACCGCCGAAAGGTACTTTTTCGCTACATTGGCACTATTTCAACGGCTGTATATCCTTTTAAGGGCGATTATGTACTAAAGTAAGAGCAGATTTGGAATCACTGCTTTTCTCTTTCTAAGAAAAGTGATTGATTAGCGTTTCTCAACTTTAAAGGTTACATGTTTATAAATTTAACCCTGAAGAGTCCGTTAACGCAATGTTGAATGGTGTACACCTCCCTGTAAATGCGCACGGACACTTTCAGAATTCTCTCGATTGTTCCTGAATTGAGGTTGTTTGTCCAAGGAGCCGTAGTTGAAGCGCGCGCAACAACTAGACCCTTTCTCGGATGCGCCGTGTACCTCACATCCCTTCAGATTCGGGGTCTTACTTGAAAGATGAAATATCTCTTGGAAAGCGTGCGAAATTCAGATTCTTTAACTTGTGTGGTGATAAAACACTGAAGTAACTAAGAATTACCGGACGCCTCAGAATCACGAAAATTTTGTGTGGGTGAAATATCATTTTCATTGGAAATCCTCTGGCCTGGCATCGACTCATCCTTGATATTTGTCTTCCGGCGGTGATGATCCCACTGCATCAAAATGGCTCGATCTCTTCCACCCAGCGGGCCAATACGACCCCCCCCCTGCGACGTGTCGAGGATTCCTCAACGCACGCTTGACCCTGGATGTGATATTGAGAGCAGAGGGAACACGTAAAGCTAGTAAGCGCTTGAAAACGAAATGAAGATCTCAGAATTCGGAAAATAACATTCATCTAATCTCACAATGTAGTGGATGAGATTGAGTACGTGGCGCATTCTGGGGTAAGTTTTGAGGCCCTTCTTTGTGTGTAGCGGTTAGCCCGCATAAGCGGGATTATATACACATCACATGCGAGCAACTACTTTTTGAGATAGAACCCGTGTGCATGGCGCATTCCGAAATCAAGCTTTCTGAAAAAATAACAGCACCATCTTGTAGCGCTTGAAGAGCTGAGTTCAACGGTGTTTTCCGTTTCTGGAATACTTCACTCTGAGCCGACTTATAACGAATTCACGAAATTAACGAGGATTCGCGTTATTCGCGTGAATTTTCGATTTCAAACGGCGAGTACTGTACCATGTTCCGGGACCCCACATAACACTTGTAAGTATAGACGCTCTTTTACCAATATGAACGGCAAAACGAAATTGGCGATGCTCGCTTTCTAGCCCCTCTTATCAGCTATTATCAGTCGTTATCAGTTCCTATCACGTACCACTTGTGTCCCCATCCCACCCCTATAACATATGTAAGAACCACTGCGCTATCGTTACTGTGACTCGAGCTATGAATTTCCGTTCAAACATACACACACACACACCAACAGACACACGCTAGCCGCTTATATATAGTAGGATTATTGATGTGATGCGTATAACATTCATTATTATTTATTATTCCTCCGATTCTTCGATCGGTCTGCCTTTATCTCTGAATTCGAACGCCCTAAAACTTTTCAAGCGTCGCGGATACTGGGCGCCCCATACGTCTGCTTTCATGCGTCCCTTGTCTCCCGACCTACCAGCGTACCGGTCCAGATGTCAATTGCGCTGGTTTGTTCTTTCCTAATGAAATCTTCTTGCGTGAAATGTTTTGCACAGTGTCCCTAATGATCACAGCTGATTAGTCATGTTAGAAAAAAGACAAAAAAGTTTCGAAGAGTTTTTTTTGAAAAGAATCCAGCAATCGCCATAGTCGTTTGAAGGCGTGTCCGGCCTCCCTAATTTCAGCTGGTCTGCACTGCTTTCAGACGATGAAAGGAGAGAAGGGTATCGAGAGAGCACTTCTTGGTAGTATGAATAAAAATTATAGGAATGAAGTTCAGATCACTTCTTATTTGGACGCCTCAATGGTGTACGGCAGTACAGAAGTGCAGGCACTCGAACTTCGTGATCTGTTCGGTGATCACGGACTGTTACGATTCGACATCGTGTCAACGTAAGTGTTAGTTATAAGCTGTATAATTGAAAAGTTATCGTTTGCAGCAAGTCTGAAAATGCATTTTGGTTACGCTAATCTCAGGAAGGTAAAATACACTTTAGGCTAGCTACTAACGTAAAAATTTGCGCCAGATATGAAAATTCGCTACAGCTTCTGGAATACATAACGCAGGGCAGTGTATGTGAGCCGCAAGAAAGTGGAAATCAGAGAAATGCGAAAATTTGTCTTCAGCGGAGATCGAACCACAAGCCCTGGTTTCGACATGTTTTTTAGCATTTCTAGAGCCGCTCTGAAAAATTATCTTCAGTTCTACACTCCACATGCGCGCCAAAAAATAGCTCATTCCTCAACTGTGTTAGAACGAATACGGAACATTTCCGTGTAATCCTACGCATTTTTTGGTACATCGATTTGTAAGTGTCCTTTTAGCAACAGCTTTCAGCTAATGTAGAGAGCTGACCTGTCAATGCGTCTGAAGAAGCTGTGGATGTTGTACATCTCACCCCAGCCGATTTTTCGCCCTAACTTGCCAGCACGACCTCTGCCCTCAAAAAACTCGTTGATTGTGATCGTCTTGACTCACGCTCACAGTATCTATTTTAGAGGACAAAAACCCTACTTACCATTCGAGAGGGACTCCGATATGGATTGTCGACGGAACTTTTCGCAAGAAAATCCGATACGGTGCTTCCTCGCCGGCGACCTTCGTGCCAATGAACAGGTGACTGCTCAATATTGAGATGTTGCGTTAACAACTCTGTTTTTCATTACTACCCTTACTACCATTAGCTGCTTGCTCAGTTAAAGCGTAAATACGCAGTCACCTCATGAAAGTGGATGGCTTTAGCTGGTTACGGCTTTTAAAATTATTTTGTAACTAAAGTAAAATTCCATGATAATTTCGAAAGTCGTAAAAGGGGCAACTGATCCAG